TCTGGTCAGTGTATTTGAGCAAGGGCCACCCGAATAAACAACGAATTTTAGGTCGTTTGACGCTTTTCCGTACGCCTATAGGGACCCATGCGCTTCCTTAGCATTTGTCGGCAGACACGGCCGTCATCGCAGGCACCGAATTTTTCTGTGCGCGCGAACCAAGCCGGAATTGCTCTCGTAGGTGTATTTCAGCATGGGCCACCAGAATATGCAACGAAATTCATGTCGTTCGACGCTTTTTCCTACGCCTATAGGGATCCGAGCACTTCCTTAGCATTTGTCGGCAGACGCGGCCGTCGTCGCAGGAGCCTAACTTTTCTGTGCGCGCGAACCAAGCCGGAATTGCTCCGGTAGGTGTATTTCAGCATGGGCCACCCGAATAAGCAACAAAATTCATGTCGTTCGACGCTTTTCCCTATGCCTATATGGATCTGAGCGCTTCCTTTGAATCTGTCGGCAGACGCGGCCGTCGTCGCATGCGGCGAACTTTTCTGTGCGCGCGAACCAAGCCGGAATTGCGTTGGTAGGTATATTTGAGCATGGCAACAACATTCAGGTCGTTCAACGCTTTTCGCTACGCGTATAGGGATCCGAGCGCTTCTTTAGCATTTGTCGGCAGACGAGGCCGTCAGATTTCATGTGATCAAATGTTCTTTTACAAATTAGAGTTTTAGATAGATATATACATATATATATATATATATATGGAAAAAACTTGAAATTTTGTTTGAAAGAAACTTATAACAAACTACCATATATAAATCGAAACCTGTCACGATGCTCGCTCGTCACGATGCTCGCTCGTCACGATGCACGCTCGTCACGATGCTCGCTCGTCACGATGCTCGCTCGTCACGATGCTCGCTCGTCACGATGCTCGCTCGTCACGATGCTCGCTCGTCACGATGCTCGCTCGTCACGATGCTCGCTCGTCACGATGCTCGCTCGTCACGATGCTCGCTCGTCACGATGCTCGCTCGTCACGATGCTCGCTCGTCACGATGCTCGCTCGTCACGATGCTCGCTCGTCACGATGCTCGCTCGTCACGATGCTCCTCGTCACGATGCTCCTCGTCACGATGCTCGCTCGTCACGATGCTCGCTCGTCACGATGCTCACTCGTCACGATGCTTGCTCGTCACAATGCACGCTCGATAACATATATAACAAATGCTAAAAACATGTTCCAATAGTAATAACATAGAACATATAACAGCATAACTTTCGTATGACAGATTACATAGTTTTAAGAGTAATAACATCGTGAAAAATATATATGTTATCTTAGAAACATTCGATAGCAATATTAATTATCATGAACAACTTCAATACGTTCAACTGAGCTCATGTGATCAAATGTTCTTTTATAAATGAGAGTTTTAGATATATATATGGAAAACAACGTGAAAATTTGTTTTAAAGAAACTTATAACAATCTACCAGTTATATATCGAAAAATTACAACAAACCTGTCACGATGCTCGCTCTGGTCGGCGCGCGAACCAAGCCGGAATTGCTTTGCTTGGTGTATTTGAGCATGGGCCACCCGAATATGCAACATCATTCATGTCGTTCGACGCTTTTCCCTACGCCTGTATGGATTTGAGCGCTTCCTTAGCATTTGGCGGCAGACGCGGCCGTCATCGCAGGCGCCGAACTTTTCTGTGCGCGCGAACCAAGCCAGAATTGTTCTGGTAGGTGTTTTTGAGCATGAGCCACCCAAATATGCAACAACATTCAGAATGTTCGACGCTTTTCCCTACGCCTGTAAGGATCCGAGCGCTTCCTTAGCATTCGTCGGCAGACACGGCCGTTGTCGCAGGCGCCGAACTTTTTTCTGTGCGCGAGAACCAAGCCGGAATTGCTCTGGTAGGTGTTTTTGAGCATGGGCCACCCGAATATGCAACGACATTCAGGTCGTTCGACGCTTTTCTCTGCGCCTATAGGGATCCGAGCGCTGTCAGAGGTCCACTGGTGATCCCCGATCGATCCTAGGGAAGGGTCACAAGCTCGTTGTCCTGGGGGGTTATGGGCGCACTGACCCGCTACTTAACAAGCCCTTTTATCCCAATGGTCTAATGGTTGGGATTCTGACATGGTATCAGAGCGAAGGTCTCGGGTTCGAATCCCAGTGTGTGCACTTCAGACATCCCAGTGCGGGGGGGTGTCAGAGGTCCACTGGTGATCCCCGATCGATCCTAGGGAAGGGTCACAGGCTCGTTGTCCTGGGGGGTTATGGGCGCACTGACCCGCTACTTAACAAGCCCTTTTATCCCAATGGTCTAGTGGTTGGGATTCTGACAAGCGCTTCCTTAGCATTTGTCGGCAGACGCGGCCGTCATCACAGGCGCCGAACTTTTCTATGCGCGCGAACCAAGCCGGAATTGCTCTGGTAGGTGTATTTGAGCATGGGCAACTCAAATATGAAACAACATTCAGGTTGTTCGATGCCTTTCCCTATGCCTATAGGGATCATGCACTTCCTTAGCATTTGTCGGCAGACACGGCCGTTGTCGCAGGCGCCGAACTTTTTTATGTGCACGAGAACCAAGCCGGAATTGCTCTGGTAGGTTTATTTAAGCATGGGCCATCCGAATAAGCAACAACACTCAGGTCGTTCGACTCTTTTCCCTACGCCTATAGGAATCCGAGCGCGTTTTTAGCATTTGTCAGCAGACGCGGCCGTCATCGCAGGCGCCGAACTTTTCTGTGCGCGTGAACCAAGCTCGAATTGCTCAGGTGGGTGTATTTGAGCATGGTCCACCTGAATATGCAACGACACTCAGGTCGTTTGACACTTTTCCCTACGCGCATAGGGATCCGAGCGCTTCTTTAGCATTTGTCGGCAGACGCGGCCGTCATCGCAGGCGCCGAACTTTTCTATGCGCGAGAACCAAGCCGGAATTGCTCTGGTAGGTGTATTTGAGCATGGGCCACCCGAATATGCAACAACATTTAGGTCGATGATGCTTTTCCCTACGCCTATAGGGATCCGTGCGCTTCCTTAGCTTTTATCGACAGACGCGGCCGTCATCGCAGGCGCCAAACTTTTTTGTGCGCGCGAACCAAGCTGGAATTGCTCTGGTAGGTGTATTTAAGCATGGGCCACCCGTATAAACAACAACACTCAGGTCGTTCGACTCTTTTCCCTACGCCTATAGGGATCCGAGCGCTTCTTTAGCATTTGCCGGCAGACGCGACCGTCATCGCAAGCGCCGAACTTTTTTGTGCGCGCGAACCAACCCGAAATTGCTCTGGTAGGTGTATTTAAGCTTGGGCCATCCGAATAAGCAACAACATTCATGTCGTTCAATGCTTTTCCCTACGCCTATAGGGATCCGTGCGCTTCCTTAGCATTTGTCGGCAGTCGCGACCGTCATCGCAGGCGCCGAACTTTTCTGTGCGCGCGAACCAAGCCGGAATTGCTCTGGTAGGTGTATTTAAGCATGGGCCATCCGAATAAGCAACAACACTCAGGTCGTTCGATGATTTTCCCTACGCCTATAGGGATCCGAGCGCATCTTTAGCATTTGTCGGCAGGCGCGGCCGTCATCGCAGGCGCCAAACTTTTCTATGCGCGCGAACCAAGCCGGAATTGCTCTAGTAGGTGTATTTGAGCATGGGCAACTCGAATCTGCAACAACATTCAGGCCATTCGATGCTTTTCCCTACGCCTATAGGGATCCGTGCGCTTCCTTAGAATTTGTCGGTAGACGCGGCCGTCATCGGAGGCGCCGAACTTTTCTGTGCGCGCGAACCAAGCCGGAATTGCTCTGGTAGGTGTATTTAAGCATGGGCCATCCGTATAAGCAACAACACTCAGGTCGTTCGACTCTTTTCCCTACGCCTATAGGGATCCGAGCGCTTCTTTAGCATTTGCCGGCAGACGCGGCCGTCATCGCAAGCGCCGAACTTTTATGTGCGCGCGAACCAACCCGAAATTGCTCTGGTAGGTGTACTCAAGCATGGGCCATCCGAATAAGCAACAACATTCTGGTCGTTCAATGCTTTTCCCTACGCCTATAGGGATCCGTGCGCTTCCTTAGCATTTGTCGGCAGTCGCGGCCGTCATCACAGAACTTTTTTGTGCGCGCGAACCAAGCCGGAATTGCTTTGGTAGGTGTATTTAAGCATAGACCACCTGTATAAGCAACAACACTCAGGTCGTTCGACTCTTTTCCCTACGCCTATAGGGTTTCGAGCGCTTCCTTTGCATCTGTTGGCACACGCGGCCGTCGTCGCAGGCGCCAAACTTTTCTGTGCGCGCGAACCAAGCCGAAACTGCTCTGGTCAGTGTATTTGAGCAAGGGCCACCCGAATATGCAACGAATTTTAGGTCGTTCGACGCTTTTCCATACGCCTATAGGGACCCATGCGCTTCCTTAGCATTTGTTGGCAGACGCGGCCGTCATCGCACCATTTCCTCATTCTGATCCGCACCTCCAGCCGGAACTCGCCAAAATCTGCCGTCCCGGGTTACATCGCCGTACTGCAACCACCCTTATTAGGTGAGCAGTGGCTTGTCGCAGTAGCCTACGGTAGGGACGAGCCAAACGCTGCAATGCGGCGATATCACCGAAGTCGCGGGACGGTGGCTAAATAAGTGACCTGGGTTAGGGCGTGTAGGCTGCCCCATGCACGCGCAGACCTCCGTACAAGCAGCGCGCATCACGCGCTCGCATACTTAGCATCATTGCGGGCGCACAACTGTAAATTCACGCGCCTCATAAGCATAAGCATGTGCGTTCCCCCAGTAGTCCGTCGTCACAAAACATCATCGCGCAAACTGCAGTAATGACACACGCCCCCTATACCATCAGTGTACGCAACGCTGTAGGGTTCACGCGCCAGCTAAACAACATCGCGCGCAAAAAAAAAAAGCAAAAAAAAACACCACGCGACTACTAACAACAGCGCCATTCCGCCAGCAGACCGCAGGCACGGGAGGAGAAAAGGTGCGTAGGGATGAGGAAGGGAGGGTGAGGTCAGGGGAGGATGGAATGTCCTGTGACCGGTGTGAGGGTTTGGATGAGGAGGGTGACGGCCGGTAAGGTAACATGGGGAAAGGAGGTGCGTTGAGATGGGGAAGGGAGGTTTAGTGAGATGCAGAAGATATGTGCTCTGCGAGGGGGAAGGAGGAGAGGACAGAGGGGGGAAGGAAGGGTGATGAGAGGGGGGAGGAGGAGAGGACGGAGGGGGGAAGGAAGGGTGATGAGAGGGGGGAGGAGGAGAGGACGGAGGGGGGAAGGAAGGTTGATGAGAGGGGGGAGGAGGAGAGGACGGAAGACGGAAGGAAGGTGCTGTGAGAGGGGGGAGGAGGAGAGGACGGAAGACGGAAGGAAGGTCCTAAACAGTTTGTATTTTGGACTAAAAAAGGGGAAACGGGCAAATAATATGCCCCAAGGAATTCGACGCGATCGCAAAGCGATGCGCTGTCAAAACCACTGCCGAAAGGAATCGGAAACAAACAAACAGGGCGATTCGTCATTTCCTCGGAATGTGAGGAGCAAGCAGTTACGAACGAGTTCCCTCTGCTTTACTGTGAGTGACTTGCCTACTCTACAACCCGATAAAGGCGGCTTCATATTAGGTACAGAGAGATATGGAACCTTTCTCACTGTATTCTCAACTCATTCTGGCCTGATTGTCGCTGACACACAACACATCACGTACATCTCCACTTTTCTTCCCCTCGCACTAGACATCATCAGCAGCCGCGTCGCGCGTGCTCTAGTCGCCACCAGCAGCGTTTTTTTCCGCCCTGGAATTGGCCGCCGCCGAAAAAATTATCATCGCCGCCCAGTGCGGTATTTACAGTGATTTTCGTCGATCATTCCTTCTCCTCCGCGCAGCGTTCCCCGATCCGCGCGAGTCTTGCCCATGGCGCTCCGCGTGCACCCCGTCTTGCCCCCGGGAACGCGTCCCTTAGCGAGTGTGACATTAACGAGCGAACCCGTTAGGTGGTTCGTCGGCGCCGCGGCGTTTTCGCGAGCAATGCGCGCTTCATCGCACGCTGGAACGGTCGCCTTCACACGCGGCGTGGGCCGCATACACTGCTGCGATATGAACGACATTTCAGAACAAGAGCGGCTACGCTCCTCCTCCTCTTTTCCGAATCACCTACTGTTGTCCCTCCCGCTCTCGACTCTCGCTCCGTTCTCTCCATTATAACCTGCCTCTCTTTCCCTGCTTCCTCTCCCATCCCCCACCTCCCTGTTCTCGTTCCTTTCCCCCATTCGCCAACCCCCCTCTCCCATTCTTTTCCAGAATACCCTTGCCCCGCGCGCGCCTACTCTCCTCCGCTCACTCGCTAGCCGCCGCGTCCCCTCTCCGCGCCGACTGCTGCGCCACTCCGCCAAGCGCAGCGCGCGTTCCCCCCTACAGGCGGAGGGTGTGGCGCGCAGCGGCTGCAGGGGGCGAGGCGGTTGCGGGGGCGTCGCCACTGGTGACCGCTGCGGGTGATAGCGCAGTGATGTTGGGTGAGTGGGGATGGTGAGAGCGGGTGAGTGGAGGTGGGAGAGTGGGGGCGGGTGAGTGGCAGTGGCGAGGGGAGGGCGGGCGAGCGAGGTAGTTTTCCTTTCCTCCCCTCCTTCCGCCCTTCTCCCCTCCCCACAAGCATCCCACGGGCTGTCCGTTTGATTTGCCAAAATTCTTTCCGCACACCCTTCCCCCCTCGCACCCTTCCTCCCCGCTCACTCACCCTCCTCTTTTCCCCACACACTTCACCATCTCTCACGCTTCCCCTCTCACACCCGTTCCCGCACCCCCCCCTCTCTCTCCAGTCTCCGCCACGCGTTCAGGTTGCGCCAGCAGTGGCAGTGCGCAACCTGGTGGCGCAGGCGCAGTACGCACAGCTCTGCTCCATCATGCCCCGCTCGCACCACCGCCGCAAGGGGTACCCGTTCGGGTCGCTTGTTGACTTTACGACTGACGCTGGTGGCCGTGAGTCAACGAGGGGGAGGGTGGGGGGGAAGGGGGAGAGCAAGATGGGCATATGGGGCAGGGAGAAGAGGGGAGAGTGAGAGAAAAGGGATGCATGCCCAAATGAATGCATGTTGACATGCTACACTCCACCCCCTTTCCTGCCATTCCGCCCCACCACCCCCCACCCCATCCCCCCCAGATCCCATGTCCCCTCTCCTGTTTGGGCATGCATTTGTGCAACCAACACTCCACCCCCCTTCTTTGCCATTCCGCCCCTCCACCCCATTCCCCCCAGACCCCGTATTCCTGTTGTTCCCCTTGGGAATGCACTCGCGCAACCTGCAGTCCGACCCGCGCTGCACCGTACTCGTGCAGATCCCACCTTCTCCTGCCATTCCCCTCATCCCCCCCACCCCACCTGCCCACCCCCCAACCCCTCCGTTCCCCCCAGACCTCGTCTTCCTGCTGTCCCCTCTGGGCATGCACTCGCGCAACCTCCAGTCCGACCCGCGTGCACCGTGGTGGTGCAGATCCCACCTCCCCCGGGTGGAGCGGCCTTGGCAACACCAACCTGCACCTGGAACCCACCTTCGTACCCCTACTTCCCCTGCCATTCCCTCCCACCCCCAACCCCCGACCCTGTGTTCCTCCTCTCCACTCTCGGCATGCACTCGTGCAACCTACAGTCGGACCCACGCTGCACCGTGGTGGTGCAGATCCCGGGGTGGAGCGGCCTTGCCGACGCACATGCTACCATCTTTGGGGACCACTACCCCCTGCCGCCCACCCAGCAGGTAGGATACGTACCAGGTACCAGGAGGTGCCACTGGTCTTAGCAAAGAACGACCTGTGAGCATGCAGCAGCAGGTGCATCAATGGCCTCGCCATTGCTGGTGCCATTGCTGGTGGTGCAGGTCCCGGGGTGGAGTGGCCTTGCCAATGCGCGTGCCACCATCTTTGGGAATCTCTGCGCCTTCCCACCCAGCCAGCCACCAAGGGAACGTATCGATATGAGCTTGGTCGGTATTGGCGAGAAGTGAATAAATAGTAACTATATCTAAGATAGATGCTCATATACGGTAAAAAGAGGTGGAAGCACAGATACAACCTCCTACCCTTCCCCCTTATCCCCTCTAGGAGTGGGCGCGGGCCTTCTATGTGAAGAGGCACCAGCACGAGGGCACTTGAGTGCTCCTGTGCTGTGTACGTCCCTTGCACCGCAGCTCTCCCCATCGCCTCACCGCCCTCCCTCCCCTCCTGTACCACCACTGCCAGGAATGGGCACGGGGCTTTTATGTGAAGCGGCACCAGCACGGGGCACACGAGTGCTCCTTGCACCATGCATCCATTACTGCTCTTCACCTCCCTCCATTTCCACCCTTCTTTACCACGCCTCCACATCTTACCACTGGCCGGAGTGGGCGTGGGGCTTTTAGGTGCGGCACCAGCACGGGGCAGCGCAGCAGTGGGGAAACTTTCACCTTTTTCTGCATGGATAGCACTTTCTGGTAACTGCATTTCTGGTCATTTGGTAACCGCTTTCAGCAGCATCTACTTTCTGGGGGCTTTGGCGCGGTGGCTTGGATTGACGTGGCTGAGTGTGTGAAACAACACTCACATAGTTACACCCTCTTGCCCTTCCCCCTTCCTTCCCAACTCGCGTTTACCTCCCTTGTGCCCCCTTTCAGCGATGTCTACTTTGTGGGGGACTTTGGCATGGTGGCGTGGATAGGCGTGGCTGAGTATGTGAGACCATTCTTCAACCAGTGACCATTCCCTCCCGCCCCCTCTCCCCCTCCTCCCCCCACCAGTGACATCTGTTTTGTGGGTGGGTTTGGCACGGTGGCATGGATAGGCGTGGCTGAGTGTGTGGCTGCCACGCCTGATACTGTCGCTACTAACCATGCGGAGCACACGCTGCAGGTGAGAGTGAGGGCACATATATGCAAGCCTTCTTCAAATTGTAGAGTGGTGAACAGGACACATCTCATATGTTCTGCGTTGTGGGGTCCCTCCCTAGGGAGTCCACTGAATCGGTACATGGCAGAGGCACCCCACGAAACCCCATTCCATGCAGCCATATGCAGTCAAGAGAGGCAGAATCGGTATGATGTTATCAAGTGTAGCCAGATGCACCCACACACGCTCAAGTTTTTTTTGTGTAAGCTTGTCATATTTTCAAATCATAATGACTTTGCATTCCAATCCAACTCTCTTCTTTCAGGCAATTGCAAAACAAATCTGAGGTCATGTTGTAAACACCTCATACCACATTTTCTTAGAACTATATACATCGCATTCTAGCAAGGCCAATGAAGACTGTACAAACCGCATCCCAGACTTGCATGACTGAAAATAAGATGCAAAGTCACATTACATCGATCGAAGGCCTCAGTACTGGATGAGTTGTTTCAGGGCCTCCACAATCTGAGGTTGGTAGGACGGGTGGGGTGGAGGATAGCACCGTTGTGGAGTGGTACAACAATACTGTAACATTGCCACCACATCAGACTGAACGTAGAGGCCAGAGGTGTTGTTTTGTATGTGCAAGTGAGCAAGCGGGCTGGCAGATACGGAGGCACAAGGAATAAAGTTGAAGAGGAATCATGAGAGGTGCATGGGAGATCACCTTGTCCTGCGTTGGGAGGTAGAAGGGCTCAAACACAAGCGGGAAGGGTGTGTCCAGCCCGCACACACGTGCCACTGGGGCTTGCAGCTGCAGTCCACGACAGGGAGAACAGGGAAATGGAATGGACCGTGTGAGGAGGATGGACTGAGGAGTCATGGGGCATGATCCCAGATGCAAACGATAACTACTCCCTCTCCACCTCCTTTTGCTCCCAAAGGTCAATTCCCCTCTCTTTCCCAGCTCCCCTGTGTGGCATGGCATGTGTGGGTCAGGGCGAGTGGTCTGACCCGGAGGAAGCAGCGGTGGGTGATGGTGGCCGCTATCTCCGCACCGAATCCACCCGTCACAGGCGCCTCGTGGCTCACCTGCCTCCCCTCGCATGCACCAACATGCACACATGCACACATGCACACATGCACACATGCACACATGCGTACATGCGCACATGCGTACATGCGCACGTGCGCACGTGCGCACGCACATGCCCACATGCCCATGCACACACACATACAAGCGCAAACATACCCATAATTGAGCACGCATGCGTGTGCGCGTGCAGAGATGCACGCAAGGCAGTGCACAAGGTCCATGGGGTTGCATCTCTGCCTGCGCACACGCATGCGTGTGTGCTGGGTGCTGGTTACTTCAAATGCAACCCCATGGAGATGCAAGGGGTTAGCAGCAAGTGCATGAGGCTCAGGACTAGAAGTGCAGCGCAGTGAAGTGACTGAATGTGGCTCAATGAAGTGGCGTCGGCACGTACTTGCCCATGAACATTACTGCCATGCACGCCTCGTTTGCCACAACCCAGGAATTGGGCAAATACTTTTCACGTGTGACGGAAGGGGGACATGGAGGAAAGCAACGGCGCGAGAGGAGGCGATGAGAGGGGATGCGCAGGGGAGGCAGTGGGAGGAGGGGGCGTACCAGGAGGCGGCCGGTTTTGCTGACGGAGGCTTCAACCGTGGCAGCATCCCAGGGCAGCAGCGTCTGCAGGTCGATGACCTCACACGATATGCCCACCTGCCCCGCGCGCACACGCGAATGTACAATGCACGGCACCACAGGGGGTGGAAGGGGGGAAATGGGGAAATGGGGTAATTAGAGGATTGCGTTTGAACTGAACAGCAGGGTCGAGGGGGAGGGCTGGCGGCGATGGCAAGAGGATGAGACAGGAGCGTAGAGAGTCGGGGAGGTGGAAGGAGTAGGAAGGCACGAGCATGGGAAGCAGGCGTACCTGGGCAGCCTCCTCTGCTGCTCGCAGCAAGACTGCCAGCTGCGCCCCCCATCCCACCACTGTCACGTCCGTGCCCTCCCGCACTACCTGCCACACATGCGCACGCACACAGGGGCACGCAGCATCAGGAAAAAGGGCTGGAGCTGGCCCTTAAAGGCTCAAGACTGCTGGATCTTTGAAGGGCGAACACGAAGCGGATGGGTAAGGAAAAGGGTATCAAGCTGCATATATCTTCTCCTTTAACGCAACAGCCACCTCCCACATTCTTCCATGTGGAATCACCTTCTTCAAATAAATTTCAGAGACGATTTTCCTCTCCCCACAACCCCGCCTCCCCTCTACTTTGAGCGGGGTGCGGTGTGGCATGCGCACCTGAGCGGTGGAGAGCGGTAGCATGTAGTCGTGCAGGGGTACGGGCTCCACTGCCAGGCGGTACAGCCACTGCCATGCGGGCAAGGCAGGGGGGTGTGATGGGGACGGGCGGCACACGGGATGTGCACACGGGGGATATATAGATGGGGAAATGAACGTCGGAAGGGAGGCGCATACTACCTGACGCACAGTGCTTTGCAAGGGGCATGGGGCATGGGGCATGGGGCATGGGGCATGGCAAATGGCGCACAGGTCATGGTACACAGTGCGGTGCAGTGTGCACGGTGCATGGCACAATGGCAGGTGGGTGGGAGCGGCGTGCCTTGGGTTCGAGGAAGATGCAGGGGTTGGCATCTCGGATGGCGGACAGCAGCAACCCCTTGGCCTGCACGGGCCCTCGCGGCACCACCACCTGCCACACGGACCCACACGCAGAGCAGCACCAGCACAGCGCAGGGCGAGATGGTGGGGGGGGTGGGAAGGCGTGACGGTTGGGCCGGGATCCCAGGGACGTGCGGAAAGGGGAGGGGAAGAGGCAGGCGGAGCGGAGGGGCTGAGAAGCGCACAAGGGGGCAGCTTGGGTGGGCCCATATGGGCTTGACCTTCACGAACGACCAGGCAACCTGTAGACGGACCCGGCACAGATGGTAGCCTTGACTCCCGCCTCTGTCCACCCTGGCATGAGGTCACAAGCACACACGCAAGGGTTGATTCACTGAAAACTTCGCATCCTGCCACACCCCCCGCCGCCACCGCCGCCGCCGCCGCTGCAGCAGCAGCAGCAGGCACGGGACATGGGAGCAGGCAGAGGCGTGGAGAGCGCACCTTGAGGCCTGGCACGTGGCAGAAGAAGGCCTCTGGCGACTGCGAGTGGTAGTGCCCCCCGTGCCCCACCGCCCCATATGGCGCTCTGATCGTCAGCCCTGCGCGCATGCACGCATGAAAAGGGAGGGGGACATGTGGGCGCTGTGGTGATTGAGTGAGCTGAGGAAGTGTGTGGATTGAGGAGCAGGGGAGAGGAGGGGACAGGGGGTAGGATGGGCGGGGTGGGTTTGCGATGGGAGCAGTGAGCAAGCACTGGTGTGCGCGTGGTGCAGGTGAGGACAGTCTGACTGGCTGTGAGAAGCGGGACAGATAGCACAAGGGCGGTGGAGGAGGAGAGGCGCGAGAGGTGAGAGCGTGGAGAGATGGGGAGCATGGGCGGAAGCAAGGCGCAGGTTGTGCACAGAGCGTGGACTTGCAAGAACCACCCGTGTGACCATCAACGAACGACAACAGTAACATGGCAGCTCATCCTCTGCCTCTCATCCTCCTCACACATTCCCACTCCTTCAAACCCCTCCCCACTCCCTCGCATCACCCCGAATCAACCCCAACTCCTTGCGCGTCCCCCCCAGCGTCCCCCGTCCCCCGTACCTCCGCAGTTGAACTGGTTGCCACTGCGGTAGCGGTACTTGGCCGCCTCGTTCACGATCTGCACGCGCACAGGGGAAACACGGTGAAGAGGGACGGCGGTGGGGAGGGAGGACGCGGGTCTGGCGGCTAGGCAGTGACGAGCAGAGCGCGGCTAGCATGCCACTCCCTAGAGTAGGGAGGGCGTGGAGAGGGGGCGCGAAGCAGAAGCAAACATTCAGCCAGAGAGGAGGTGGCGATTGGGGGCAGGGGACCGTGACGGTGGGTGAAACAGGGGCCTGCGGAGGTGCGGGGCGAGAAGGAGAGGGACGAACCTGGTCGAAGGCAGGAAAGATGTAGTCGGCGAACTGGATCTCCGCTATGGCCGTGTTGCCCTGCACGCATGCATGCACACACGCCGTGCGCGCACAGAAAGAGAGTCGCAACATGCGGATGAGACGAGCACGGGTATGAAAGCGCGCGGGGATGGACGCAACGACTCGTTGCGTAAAAGGCATGGCGTGGATTGTGCGGATGATGGACGCATGATACAGGACGCGCGCGGAGGGAGGGGAAGATACGGTCCGCGCGCAAGTGGGAGCGAGAGAGCAGAGCAGCGTATCGTACCATGGCAGCGAGACCCACGGCGAAGCCTGCTATGCCCTGCGCACGGGGAAGAAAGCGGAGGGAGGCACGCAAGAGGAATTGACGTCATGGGATTGTGGGCGAGTGACGACAGAGAGGAGGCAGCAGCGAGGGCACGTGGCACCGCTATGCGGCCACCAGACGCGGCGCGCGAAGTGGCGTGGCGCGGCGCGGCACGACGTGGCGTGGAGTGGCGTGGTGTGGTGTGGTGTCACCTGTTCGCACAGCGGCGTGTTGAATACTCGGTGGCGGCCGAACCGCTCTGAGAGTCCCGAGGTGCAGCGGAAGACGCCACCAAAGCCCACGTCCTCGCCGAACACGAACGACCTGCGCAACGCCGCGCACGACACGCGCACATCAGAGCAGCATCATGCGGCGTACGGCACGAGGCGGCATGAGAGAGTAATAGCGAGGCGCGGCAGTCAGATCGACGGCAACAACATGGTCGCCCCACAGCCCGCTCTTTCACACCGCCCGGCCATGTGCGTCGCGGGC